CTGGCTTTCCTGTTCTTTGTACCTTAGGTAAGGTGATATCACGAGGCATTCTCATACTTGACACCATCATTAGATTGAGCTGGTGCACAATTTAGAACAAAAGATGGAGGGAGGTAAAAGGGAAAGAGCTTGGGAGAGGTTCCTGGTGGGTGTTGGTTTGGGCTGGGGCGAGCCGAGGAAATGAGAGAGGAGAGCAAAGGGAATGTGCGGCAGAGATGATAAATTAAACATGTTGTTTACTTATTCAGTTTATTGAGCATCTTCTTTGCGCCCGGTGTTGTGCTCATAAAGTCTGGGTTTGTGTGGGGAAAAGAGACAATAAACAAGTAAACAAATATATAAAACAATGAATAAAATAATAAACAGTGGTGATAGCCAGGACAAACGTAATGAGGCACCAAACTGGAAGGGAAGCCTTCTGGAGGATGTGATGTGAAAACCCTGCATGAGAAAGAGCTAGAAGAAAAGCCTTCAGAGACAGGGTCGGTCAAGAGCCAAGGGCCTGGAGAGAAGAAGAGCCTGGTGCGTTCTAAGAACCGGACAGAAAGCCTGTGTGACTGTGACTCGGGGGTTCAGAGGGAGAGAGAGAAGTGATGGGTGAGAAGACGTAGGGCAGGCTCCGTGAATGACCTTGAGGGCCAAGCTGGGGGGTTAGAATTTAATTCTAAGTACAGGGGCGCCTGGGTGGCTCAGTCGTTAAGCATCTGCCTTCGGCTCAGGTCATGATCCCGGGGTCCCGGGATCGAGTCCCGCATCGGGCCCCCTGCTCGGCGGGGAGTCTGCTTCTCCCTCTGACCCTCCCCCTCTCATGTGCTCTCCCTCTCTCTCTCTCTCTCTCTCTCTCATTCTCGCTCTCTCAAATAAATAATAAAATCTTTAAAAAAGAAAATAATTCTAAGTACGGGGGAAGGCACCCAAAAGTACAGGGGCTTTTAAGGGACGGAGTGGCAGGGCCTGCCCGGAGCTACCGTAAAGATGGCTCCAGCCGTGGGAGGGGGTCAGAGAGCGGCTGTGCTCATGGTGGTACGTGGCCTTTTGTCCCTCATTAGAGGCCCTGCACAGACTGGCAAATAAGACTGTCACTTGCCATTAGGCATGTTCCAGCTGTAAGGACCCTCAGGGTAAGCAATGTGGTTTTTGAGCCTTTGGGATTTCACGAAGCAGTAGACAACAAAATTGGGGGCTCACAGACTGTTGCAACTTTCTGTTTAGCTAAAGCAAGTAAAAACTCAGCTGCCATCCGTGATCACCTTCATTTCATAAATGATGAGATATTTTAAAGCCAACAATATAATCTCAGGGGGGGATCTAATTTTATAGAAAACACTACACTTTCTTTTCTTTTTAAGATTTTTCATTTATTTGAGAAACAGAGAGAATAAGCACAAGCAGGGGGAGGAGCAGAGGGAGAGGGAGAAGCAGGCTTCCCGCGGAGCAGGGAGCCCAATGTGGGGCTCGATCCCAGGACCCTGAAAACATCACCTGAGCCGAAGGCAGACGATTAACGACTGAGCCACCCACGCACCCCGAAAACACTACACTTTCCTTGTATTTTCAACATTTTGCTTTAGAATCAGTGAAAACCTCCTTACAGACTGGGCACACATCCACACAGTGGTATTCTGAACATCAGTATTTACGAAGCACTGAGCCTCCACCCCATCTCCCAGATGAAGAACCTGAGGTTCGGGGCGGGGGCATGTAGCTTTCTCAGGGTGAGGAGGGGAGTTAATAAGGGCAGAGGGCCACCGCCTCCGTCTCCTGACTGCAGGTCCATTCTCATTCCATTACATCATCATGCTATATACCTCCGCTTATTTCTTCTGCATTGCCAAGGTTCAAATACCACAGCATGGGTTCCTGTCCAGCACGCGCTACGATGGCCATTGCTACATCCCTACCAGCATTCCCAAGAGCTAAGGTGCTTATCAGGACACAAGCGTGTCCTGCAAACCAGCTCTCAGCAAACCAGCTCTCAACCTGACAAAATGGAACCCTTTTCTCCATAAGGAAGAGTAAGGTGCGTCTCACCTGATCTTCAGATACGCTGCGACTCCAAACACCAACAACACCACGGCAATGACCGTCACTGTAATGGCGGCGATGCTCCCTGCAGGGGAGGAGAGGCAGAGGGAGAAGATGAAGGAAGGGCATTCACTTCCATCGGTCTGCACAGAAGTCAGAGCTAGAACGAAACCCAGGATCTTTTCTTTCTTTCTTTCTTTTTTTTAAAAGATTTTATTTATTTATTTGACGCACAGAGAGAGAGAACACAAGCAGGGGGGGAACGGCAGGCAGGGGAGAAGCAGACTCCCTGCTGAGCAGAGAGCCCGATGCAGGACTTGATCCCAGGACCCCGGGATCATGACCTGAGCGGAAGGCTGACGATTAACCAACTGAGCCACCCAGGCGCCCTGAAACCCAGGATCTTAATTCTGTTACCAATACGCTTCTCAGCTCCGAGAGATTGGGTAAATGGCCAACTTTATTAAGACCGTGTGGCTGGCCTGGAGTTCTGAAAACAGTCTCCAGTGATATTTGTTGTTTTAAGAATGACAGCAGGCTGTTTTGCTGCTGCTGTCGCTGGTGGCAGGGGTGGGGACTGCAAACCTCCCGACATCCTATTTTCTTCTTTTATAGACTCTGGCTCCTCTCTCTACCCTCGGGAGATCTTGGGAGGCTTGGGATGTTTTATTCAAGGGTCACTACAAAGTAAGTGGTTGGTTTTTAAATAAACCAGAACCACACAGCTGTATCAGCAGTGTCCACTTCAAAAGGATCATCTTGGTAGGAGATGTACTCATTTTAATGATGCCATCAAATCAAAGCATTTTTTTTCTAAAACTCCTTTTTGGGAAGTGTTGAGTTTTCATCTTTGAAAGGTGAATTTGATTTTGTAGAGAAGAAAGTCAAGTTTGGTGTAAAACTATGGTCTGGTCTGAGAGGTAACACCATTTTCTGTGTATGGAAATAACCAGGTGTAATTATAAAGTAACATGAATGTTTTATTGTGTAATCTGAAATCTGGCTCCAAAGGCAACTATTAATGGGCAGTTAAAAACCCTTTGAGCAGGTAGCCTTGTAAGAATAACCATACTGCTTCCCAAGATTACTACTTTGAAGCACAACACTCTTTTTTGTGTGAGCTTTGGACCAATAATATATTTACTTCAGCTTTATTCTACCTGAGAAATGCAAAGAATCAATTGGGCTCTTGTCCCCTAATAGTGAAGTGACTTTTTTGGCACTAAACCTGGTGTTAGGGGCACCATGTACTCTTTCAGGCCACTGGGAAACTGTTTACTACTTCAACAAATGAACGGGACTCTTAACCACACTGGAAAGAGCATCAGAGATCTGGAGTCCGAACATGTGGATTCAAGTGTGCCTCCATCATTCGCTGTGTATGTAGCATGGGTTATTTACCTAACACTGACTTGCATGCCATTCACCTGCAGCAACAGAGAAAGAAGAGCTGCCCGCCCCCCGCCCCCATGACTTTAGCAGGGATTAAATGAGGTGCCACGTACACCGAGTGGAAGTCTTATCCAAAATGTACCATCCTGGACCAGTGCCCACCAGTCATGTACTGGATCTCAAGGGTGATGGATCTGCCCCCACATTTTTGGAGACTTGTCGTTTGTAGATTATTTTGTCATTTTTCCTTTTCTTTCTTTCCCTCTCTTATGAACGGCTTTTGTATATTGTTCTTCTCGTTAGCCCTTCCACCAAAGGAATTAGAGCAGAGCTAAGAAGCAAATCAGTCTAGTTATTAACTCTTTTATTAACTCTTTAGTAACTCCCCAAAAGTTCTGACTGAAAGAAGGCTACATCAAACATCCATGCTCTCTCTGCTGGTTTAGAATTTCTAAAAGAGAGCCAAAGAGGTCCACTGCTAACTAACACTGAGGCTAAGACCAGAGCTTGATGTGTCCACGCAGACTGACCACATTCCACCATTTCAGGGCTTCCACACATGTGGACGCTCACATGCCCACCTCCTTGCTCCTGGAACCCTTCAGAGCCAGATTCGTGTAATTATCAAGTTAATTCTCCCCCCCCCTTTTTTTTACCACGGTAAAGACAGAATTATGACACGGAATGCTCAGATGTGCAGATCTGATCGATGTAGAGAAAGTTCAAGGTCAGATCCCCTTATGGAAAACTTCCACCCCTGCTTTGAAAGGCTGCACTTAGCTTCACGGCCTCCAAACTGTGCTGAAATTAGAACAATTCAAAGTTCACTGAAGCCTCTTAAAAGCTCTTTTAAGAGCTTGTGAAATGAGGATTATGACTGCAAGGTAAGGTGATGGGGGCCTTTCAAGATTCAAAGAGATACAGTGGTTGCAATTAGGAGCTGCTTAAAAACTGACCTTTAAATTTAATTTGCCCCTTTCAAAAAAAAAAAAAAAACAGGAGAAGGGACAAACTATAGTTGATTTCTCTATAAGACTTTTCTTTCTTGTGCCAGCAGAGTTTAATACAGGAAACTGTAGGTTTGACCTTTTTCAAAGTTTCTTTCCTAACCCTAGGCAGTTGGATCGCCTCCAATTCTGCGATTTACTGGATATATTTATACATCACGTCTTTCTAAAGATAAATCAGGCAGTTCCCCAACTCAAGTGCTGTTCTTTTTCAAAACACGGCAAGTGACAGAGTGACCCGCTGCCCCTCTCAGGGGCTGGTGGCTGTCTTCTAGCTCTCGATGTAGCCCCAATCCTCAAATGGGGCTCTCAAGGCCATCCTTCCTTGTTCACAGAGGGCAGCCTCTATGACCAGAGCAGGGATTAGCAGGTGATTTTCCCCTGATGGGCTCCTGAGGGCAGCTGAGCAAAGGGGCACTTCTGAGGGTTGGTACTGCTCGATATCTTAACTATTCTGCCAGCCGCCGGCTCTTCTCCTGGGGTGTCAGCCACGGGTGCCAGGGTCCCTTGGAAGTCGCTCCCTATCAGGCCCTGAGCCTAGGAGGTCTTGTGGGCTGAGCCTGCTCTGACCCCCAGAGCGCCTGCTACCTTCAGAAGCAGCCAGGAACCTCATCCTGGGAAGTTCCGCACCTCAGGGCATCATGGTTCGAGCATATGAGGGGTTTGCTGAGCCAACATCAGCACAATTTTTATGGTAACTGAAAAGGCTTGATTTCCTCCTTGTAAAAACAAATGTCATCCCCGCCCCCGAGTTCTGTTTAAACTAAACTGGAATTCCCCTTCTCCTCCTACTGACTCTTTTTTCAAGGAGGGCCAGGGGGACAGAGAATGAGGAAGGTGTGGTTGGGGCAGTGAAGGCTTTGCCCTGTGAGGAAGGTATGGCCACTTGGTGGGCAGGGCGCTGAGAGCGGGGGATGGGAAGGTGGCTGGCATTTCGGTTCCTCCTCAGTGGGATGTGCTCCTTACAGACTGGGTGTGGCGCACGCTGAAGAGCCCTGGAGCCAGAAGGCATTAGAGAGAGTTGGAGGAAACTTATCTGTATATTTTATAAGCCGAGATGCAAGAATATTCCACTGTGCTAGCACATTCCACCCTGCCAACATGTTCTGCCTGACTAGAGGGCTGCTGAAGATCCATGCCAAGCCTCCTGGAACACCGGGCCTCTCTGGAGGCTGGGATTTCTCAGTGGGCCACTTCACCACCTTCACAACAACGCAGAACAAAAATAAACAGGCTAAAGAACAAACATAGTTACTTCTACCCCGTGGGTACTTTGGGCTAGTACTGTGCCAAGAGCCTGATGGAGATCCTGTCACTTGATTCTCCTTATGAGATGAGTGGACTGAGTCCCATTTCATGGATGAGAAAGTTAAGGCTCAGAGAATTCAAGAACTTGATTCAGGTTTTACAGTCTGATAAATGGTTACGCTAACATTCGAACCCAGGACTATTTCATTCCAGGCTTGGCATTTGTAATCACTAACATATACAGGTTACTTCCACTGGCCCTTTTCCCAGCTTTCTTGGTGACCTAACTAAATACCAACCCTTCTGATTAGCTTTCCCGGCGCCCCCATGCAAATGACCGTGTTATTGTGGGTTCTCAGCTCTCTGTGTCTGCCTCTTTCAAACGCTCTCTGTTGTGTTTATGAGCTTCCCCAGGCAGGTTCTAACCATATTCATCCTGCATCTCTTCCCCTACTTCCTGCACTCTCAACCCCAGGTGCAGTCTCTAGCCCGCGGTGGGTACTTGATTCATTTATTTAATGTCGAATGAATAAATGTAATATTGGCAAAAAAGAAAGAAAGAAGAAAGAAAGAAAGAAAGAAAGAAAGAAAGAAAGAAAGAAAGAAAGAAAGAAAGAAAGAAAGAAAGAAAGAGAACTGGCAGTTTTTGAGCCCAGTCGCTGTGCTGAGAAAGTTCCCGAGCAGCAGGTTTCCTGTCTTTCCATCTTGGAAGCCCCTGCTCCAGGTCTTACCCGAGCATTTCCTCCTATGATACTCTACAATTATGGTCCGACCCCTGCGGCATGTGCTTGCGAGTTCCCATGGATGATGGAACTGGAGGAGAGTTATTTTGGGAATAACTGTCCGAATAGAGTCAGATAACATCCTTGAAGTAGCCACAGCTAACTCCCAGAAGGCTATGCTCCCGGTCAGACCTGGCATCCCCGGGAGGCAGGCGGCTGCCCTGGAAGTCATCGCTTGCCCTGCTTTTAGTCTGTTCTGTGCCCTGTGCTGGCCTGGAATAAACTATGGCATCCTGTTAAGGGATCTCTCTCCCCGCACCCGCCTCTCACACAGCAGACATGTCTTGTTCTTTTCTTTCCTCTTCCTGGTCCAGAAAGTAGGTAAGAAATGGAGAAGAGGAGCAGGGGACCACTTCAGAGTGTGTGGCTGCTCCTTCAGTCAAGGTCACGGAGAGGAAAGGAACATCCTGTCTCAAAGGAATTCTTCCTCCCCAACAGCGTGTGTCTGCGCATGTGCTGGAGGAGGGGCGGGGGCAGCGGCGGGGGTGGGGTGGGGACTGGGAGGTAAGACCTCCGCGGGGGGGCCCCAAACTCTATGACACTAGGAAAAGCCCGTCCCAGCCTTACAGTCGTAGTCTCGCATCACACCTCCGTACTCCAAACAACAATGCTAATAGTATTAACAACGACAACAAAAATAATTGCAACCCACACTT